TTTTTTTTTATTTTAAAGATTTATTTTTATTTATTTATACAAGCACTGGGTACAGTCAGAAGCACAGGAGGGTGAGAGAATGAGCCAGAGCCAGAGCGGGGAGCAGAGCAGGCAGAAGGACCAAAGGACACTGCTGAAGGGAGCAGCGGGCGGCAGGAGAGGTCTGCACGCCATGTGGGACCCTCCTCCGGTGGCCAGGGAGCAGCTGGGGATCGAACCTGCACTGCAGAGGCTGCGAGCAGCTTCGCAACCCAGCGCTCAACCGCTGTGCCACCGGGGAGGCCCTGTGTTTCTTATTTTTTAGTGTCCACATGAATCACCTAGGGATTCTGTTAAAACTGTTACTTCTTATTCAGTCGTTTGTGACCAGGACCCAAGATTATGCATTTTCTAACAAGCTCTCAGATACTGCTACTGGTTCAGAAACCATACTTTAAATAGCAAGTCTTTTTTAAAATCACTTTTTTTTCTTAAGGTAACATTAGTTTACAGTACTATATAGGTTTCAGGTGTACTGTTTCTAACCATAGCAACTGTATATTTCATGCCATAAAATGTCCAGTCACCATCTACCACCAAGCTATTCCCTCCCCACTCTCCCTCTGGTAGCCATCATTTTGTTGTCAGAGTCTAAGGGTTTGTTTTGTTCTGTGTGTGTGCTTGCTTTTCCTTTTCTTTATATTCCATAAATGAGTGAAGTCATACAGTGTTTGTCTTTTTCCTTTTGATTTATTTCACTTAACATAGTTTCTTGAATCCATCTGTGTTATTGAAAATAACAAGATCTCTTTTTTTTTAATGGCTGAGTGGTATTCCTTTGTGTATATTTAAACTCAATCTTTTATCAGTCACTTGGGTTGTTTCCATAGCTTAGCTAAGTAGCAATGTTTTAAAAAGTTGCTGTGTCAGTTCTGTTCCCTGGAATTTCTCAAAGACAATTTGAAAGACTCAGCCTTTGGGTGACTAAGACACCTAATAATCTTTACTTTATCATAGCTATGACTACTGGAAATGTCTCCTTTTATACAAATCACAAGATCCAGTTTTAGCAACATATATTCATTTCTCTGTTACTTGGGACCTTAAATTCTAGAAATATTTTGTATAGTCGCTACCATTTTTTCCTCATGGAACAGGTTTCATACTTCTAAAACATGGTATAAATCTGTTGAAATAATGTATCACCAACCATTCAAGTTGTTCTGTGTTCAGTTAACCATATTGTTATCCAGTTTTTTTAATAACATGCTTATTGGTATTTTTATTAGACCAGTCAGCAGGGTGAAAGAGGTCAGACTTAGCCATTTGTTTTAAGGTGGCCGTTATGGTAAATGATTTGAGGAAGAAAACATCAGTTCCCATGATTTACACTATCCTTCTCCCCCACTATCTAAATAATTTACTAGTCCTGTGGGTTAGCCTAGGCCATATTTCTACATATCTTTTCTCAGTGATTCACATTAATATGGACATGTAAGTCCTCAATTTTAAACAAAGAACCTTTTTAATAGTGAATGAAGTATGGAACTTTTTTAAATGACAAGATTGCTTACAAAGTAACTTAGAAAAGAATTCTGTATCCCTGGTATCGTGAATGTGAATTAAAAAGAACATGATTTTTAACAAATGTTTTTATTCATATATTTTGGTTTTTTCCGCTATTCATATATTGACTTCTGATTTTCAAAATGTTTCTTCAGTTCAGTGTAATTTTTTTTTTAAGATTTTATTTATTTATTTATTTATACAAGAACCAGGGTACAGGCCAGACTCGCCAGAGGGTGAGAGGACTCACCAGAGACAGAGCAGGGAACAGAACAGGCAGACTGACTGAAATACACTGCTGAGGGGAGCAGTGGGCGCGACAGGAGAGGTCTGCCACGCCATGTGGGACCCTGACTGGCTGGCCGGGATCGAACCGGTGCTGCAGAGGCAGTGGACAGCTTCACAGCGCTGTGTTCAACTGCCTGCACCACTAGGGGAGGCCCAAGTTCAGTGTAATTTTAAGAACAATTATTAAGAAACAGATTACACTTGTAGTTTGTTAATTACAATTAACTGTTTTTCAGACAAATATCATATCTGAACTAAGTAAATGGAGACTGAATTTTATTGACTGGCACCGAATGGAAATGAAAAAAGAAAAGGAAAAACATGCATCAGATTTAAAACAGCTATGCAGCCAAATCCACAGCTTGAAGGAACTGCAAAAAGCCTATGAAATCTCCATTGGGAGAAAAGATGAGGTCTTTTTATGTTCCTTTTTAACTGAAATTCAGTTAATGTCTTGATAGGTAATGATCTTGCTTTACAGTACATACAAGATACAAAGGAAGGAGCACTTCAGGAACTGGTAGAAAAACAAATGATTAGAATAACATTTATTCTTCCTGTTAAATATACAGGATCGTATCATTTCACTGTTGCCATCAGCTTGGTGTTGTTGAAGTTTTAAGAGTACAGGAATACTAATTTTTTCTGCCTAATCTTTTATTTCCAATTTCCCTTGAGAGAACATCAGGGAGCCAGAATTATCCATGTTTTAAATATTCTTTTAAGGGTCTTTTTAAGTACTTCACTTTTTATCTGTGATGTCTTCCTTTGTTGATAAAATCTTTATTTTACTGATAAACACAGAGAGCGCCTTTTTATTATTTCTGTCCTCCTCTTAAGAAATGGAGAGTACGGTTCAGCTTTGTGTTAATTTTGTGTGTACCAACAGCATCTTGACCAAAGCAGATGGGTAGAAATGTATGGCTCCCCCAGGAGGATGGTGGCTTCAGAGAAGAGGGACTCACAGCAGACACCTCAGCTGGTTGTCTGCAAATGCAGCTTTCAGCTGCTTTAGGAACTCAGTTAAGATTATAGTTTGTTTTTTTTTAAATATACCTATCTTTTGGTGTTATGGCTATAATACAAAATTGGACATTTTACACAACTCAGTTTTCTGAAATACTAGCTACTAATGCCAGTCATTTTCACTTTTACCCTCTAAACTCTCTCCTAAGGTAATCTCACAATAATTGGATTAATTGCTCTCTGCAGGTGATTTCTAGCTTGTCTCATGCCATAGGCAAGCAAAAGGAAAGGATAGAGTTGATGAGAACATTCTTCCACTGGCGAATTGGCCATGTTAAATCCAGACAGGACGTAAGTGTGAAAAAAATGACTGACAAATATTAAGACTTCTGAACTCAAAAGCATTTAGGATCACATATTAAAATTCTTGTTAGTCAAAGAAAGATTTGTTCCTAATAATTAGTTTATACTGTAATGTTGTTTTATTTCACAGAAATCAATTTTGGTATAGTTTAGGAAAAAATACTGTTAGGTTTTATAGACCTATTAATGTATCATTTCCTACTTTATAGTTGGTTTATAATGATTGTATTTAAATTACAAATGCCCTGGTAATGGAACCCCTTTAATAAATTTAATCTCAGATGTGATTATGAGGAGAAAATTTGTAGTCTTTAACATATGTCCCTATATTGCTTCTATCTAAAATGCCTGAATATATTCCCTTCATAAAGAGACGATACTGTATTTATACATTATAAAATTGCATCAATGTTTGTTGTGTAGACTTGCCTTAGAATGTGAATCAGAGAAAGCCATATCTGTATAGCTTCTTAAAGATTATCATTAGTTTTTATATAATTTAAACTTAAGCATCTTTTCATTAAGAAATAAATCAGTATATCAATGTAAATATAAACTGAAACTAAATTATTGTATCAAAAGTGAAAAAGTCATATGTATATATCCCACAAGAATCAGGCTATAGAGATTCAAGAGTATAGACGGTGGGGTTTTGTTTTGGTTTATGTGATACCCATGTGAGCCATGGAGTAATCTCTGTATTGAGTTCCAAGATTGTATTTAAGGAAAAGGCTATTACTATCACGTAATAAGATTTCTCCTTTAAAAATACTTTCTAGTTCTTTCATTTTTGTATTAATCCCAATAGATTAAATCTTCATTAATCATATTGAAATGAACTATGTAAAAGTAAATATGCCATATTTATTTTAAAAAACCCATATATTTGAAGTTATAATAAATGTGACATAATGAGAATGTTATATTTAAATGTTAGCTAAAATAGGTGAAGCAACATTGAATAACTTCAAATTTAAGAAAATTGGAAGTTGGAACTACCACTTAAAAAGAATTAAAATCCCTTAATAAAAGAAGAATCTGCATTAAGTTCCCATTGAGTCAGTTTTTCCCTGTAACTTGTTTAGGTGTATGAAACAAAGCTGTAATGGATAAGAGCTCAGGCTCTGGAGGAGACAGGCTTGGCTTTTTTCCCTTCCCATTTGTGTGACTTAGACTGGTTACTAAACCTCTCTGAGCCTGTCCTCCTATCTGCAGATCTGAATAATATGATTACACAGGATTAAAAAAAATAATAATGTAGACCACTGCTTATCACAGTGTTCTGTTTACATAGTATTGCTACCAATATATTACCAGTCCACTGTGTTTTTGAGGTTGTATATTATTTTCACTTAGGTTTATGAAAATAAACTAGCTGACCAGTACTTCCAGAGAACTTTACTGAAGAAAACCTGGAAAGGCTGGCGTTCTGTAGTAGAAAGGAAGTGGAAAGATGTGATCGAACGAGCTTGTCAAGCAAGAGCTGAAGAAGTTTGTGTCCAGATTTCCAATGATTATGAAAACAAAGTTGCTATGGTAAACTTTTTTAATTTTCACTTTCTTGTAATAAAAATAGCACCAGTTACTATTAGTTTATAGTCTCCAACTCTATTTAATGCAGTGTAGGTTCAGATGAGACACTGTTGGAAAATAACAACACTAGTCAGACTGAACAGATTTATTGTAAATCATTGTAACTCTGACCTGCAAACTTGAATTGGACCTCTTGTATGTACATTTCTTTTGGAAATACCGATCACCCACTAGTCCTTATATCTCTTAGAAAGCATACTTCCTTCTGCGTCTTCTTTTAGTCTTTAGCTAAAAATAAAGAACAAAACCAAAAATACTTAAATTTAAAGAAACTATGTTCTTACAAGGTTGACATAAAGCAGTTGTACAGAAATTAAAATTACTTTCCCATTGACTTTTAATAATATCAACATTGTTTCCATGGGAAAGCATTCAAGACCCATAATGAAATGAAAACCATACTGAGAAGAATGCAGTGGGTCTTTTGAAGCCAAATACTAAAAGGAAAAAAAATTTCATCATTATAGCACAAAGTTCTTTTTTTTTTTTAATAAAACTCACCTTTAATTAAAGCTCCTATCTGAACATACCTTCCTTAGATACATGTGGCTCACTCCCGTAGGTCCCCCAAATCTCTGCTTAAATGTCATCTTCTCAAATACCACCCCCTTATATTGTACCTCTTTTCTGCCCTGCCAACTTGATTATAACACAAAGTATTTAATGTTAAAAATGTTTTCTTGTATAAATATTTTTCTGCATTTCAAAATGGCATGCAAAAAATGCAGTAACTTTAGATCTGGTCTGTGAAAAGTGTATTATACTTTATATCACTTTCTACTTTAATTCAATAGGTAACATTTAGTTTTTAAACATTCTGTTAATATTGCAGGCATTTAGTTGTTTGGGTTTATTTAATTTTATTTATTTTTACATGTAAGAACTGGCGTGTAGACCAGAGGTTGACAGGGGGTATGAGAGGATTCACCAGAGATAGAGTGGGGAGCAGGACAGGTGGATCTACAGAAATATGCTGCTAAGGAAAGCAGCGGGTGAGACTGAGAGGTCTCCTTTGCTAAGGGATTGAACTCAGGTGGCAACGGCGATAGGGCTGAGACTTAACCGCTATGCCCCCAGGGAGGTCCTGTTTCGTTATTTTTAAACAATAAAAATTAGTCTTCCTGTGTCTCAAAACCTTAATCTCTATTTAAATTCTTATTTTAGTTATCTGGTGCTTTGGAAAATGCAAAAGCTGAGATCCAAAGAATGCAACATGAAAAAGAGCTCTTTGAAGATTCCATGAAGAAAGCTTTCATGAGGGGTGTATGTGCATTAAATCTTGAAGCTATGACTATATTTCAAAACAGAGTTGATGCAGGTTACTATTTTCCTTAAGTCTTTGCCTTCTTTCAAAAAGAATTTGAAATTTCAGTGATTGCGTGGTCTGCAGTACTAATTTTGTGTGATAGGTATGTCTTATACAGCACTGGTATTTTTATTTCCACAGTGTCATACACAGTTTTAAATCTACCATGTAAATTTGTTTAGTCATCTAAGAGCTGATCAACTAAATTGAAAGTAGCCAAGTTCCTTGAGTATTTTGTTGATTAAATATTCCTTATCTAGTCATACATGTCCTGTTTAAAAAAATTATTGTGTTCCAGTTAAGAAAGCCTCCACTAAAACTCATTTTCAGCAGATACAAATATAGGCCTATCTGTAGAAATCAAGTAATTTTATTTCAAGAAATGTCTGTGCTTGGCTGAAATCTGAGTAGTTCATATCATAAGTTTTGTCACTGTAGCTTAAAATAGCACAGGATTAGAATCTTTTGCCACCAATTTATAGTGAGGCCTGTTTTCCTGATGGGTTTTAATTTTTTTCTCTGAACAAAGAAGATAATATAAATCACCCTTACTTGCTTCATAGGGAGTTCTCATGCAATAAAATATTGAAAGCTCTTTAATAGACACAAAATACTTTAACATGTAAGATGAAAATCATGATGTAACTGTGATCTTTAGTCAAGTCAGCTTCTTAACTTTCTTGTAAGTTTGTGAACATTGTTCAGTATTCCCTATTAGTAAACCTTATTTGAGACTTTCAGTTTATCAGTGACAATTTCGTTTTATAAATTAATATGATTTCTATACAGTAAATAAATTCTGTGTGCTTGCCATGCCTTCATTTTAAAGAATCAACAAACATTATACAAGCCATGTAAATTGTGAGTTAAGTCAAATCTTGTTCTTTCTGAAGCAGTCATGGTGTGTGGCCTACATTCACATTAAAAATTAGGATCATAAAACCTCAAGGCTGAATAGTTTATCTTCCTAATACTCTAGTAAATGGTCTTTTAATTGAGTGTCAACAATGAAAATAAACTCACCACCTCCAATGATAGAATTGTCATTCAGTTAGCAAGTTGTATGTATTAAATTGGAGGATTTAATTATCACTTTTTAGCAGACACTTTATTATAAAGTAATAAATTATTATCATTGGAGCCACCTACATTCAATTATAAAAGACCTGTGCTTGGGACACAGTGTTTTACCACCTTAATATATTTACCATTTTAAATTTTAAATTCAAATAAATTTTATTTGTGTCTCCTCCAGACAAATACCCATAACAGGTTATGAAGAACATGTATTCTGATAACACAATGTAATTTATTTTGTTCTGGTTGCTTTTAAGTCTATTATTATGTGCAGCTAACGCCAGGTTCTAGAAACCTAACTGTTTTGAGTAGCTTTGTGCTTTGTTCTCAGAGAATTCTGTTTTCAAAGCAAAAGCAGTATTTTTTAGTGAATTCCTGTCATCAGTGGATTTCAAAAGACCTGCGCATTACAATCCTCATTATACTCTGTTAATTAGATAACTTACTCTGTTTTACATAAAAGATAGTCTAAGAGAAAGACTTAAACAGAAGCCTAAATTTCTGGATGAAAAGAGGACAACATAGAAAAACCATGTAAACATGGGGATATATGCTGCCCTCTGTTCAGATATTCTGAAAAGAGTTCAGACTGAATTTCCAAACCCTCATCCTAGTGTTTGGTATCACATATACTGTATAGTCTTATATGGAAATTTTAACCAAATTCTAATACTTGGGGGCCAGATATCTAAATTTTGAAGAAACCCTTTGCCATAGCTTCTGGAAGCTAGTATTATTCACTCCTTTGATCTCAGATGAAGGTTCAGTTTTGAGAGAAGGTTACTATATGTGTGTCACTAAAATTGATAAGTGTGCAAATGTGCTCTTAATTCATGACTTATATAATCCGTCTGCAAAACTTAGTTCTTTTGACTGCCAAAAGTAAAGATTTTCATGTTATTTATTGATATATTATTGTTTGCTGAAAAATCAAGAATAAAAACATAATGTTTTAGTTAGGATAGGTGCAATATATAGAATGAGAAGGTAAGGTAGACAGTATCAGAAAATAATTCTGAAGATCTAAATACAGGGCCATTGGTCAGAATAATTGCATGAAATAACTAAAAAATATAAATCCTTGGGTTCAGGGTGATGATGTTATTGTAATGGTTGTGATGGCAGTGCACGTTGAGTATACAATTTATTTTTTATCTTTTTCATAAATGTAAATCATTCATTAGCTTTAACATGTTGAGGGAAGTGCTCTGAAATCTTTAGTAGTTAATACTGACATTAATCAGATAATACTGACAAATGAATTAATTGAATTTATCCAATAAGTGACAAATTTTTACATTCTTTTATGACCAAATTTTAGCTGTTATTTATTTTCATTGTTAGGGAAATAAAAGTAATCTTATCTTAGAGGAATTTTAATGGAATTAATTTGTGATTTATAGGGACAGACTTCACAAATGTTAGAAAGGAAGACTATGGTCCTGGTGTTCAAGGAAAAGAACATTCTGCTCATTTGGACCCTTCAGGTGCTCCACTGCCCTCATCTGGGGCTCGGCCACTGACCCCGCCAGCAGCAGCCATGGGAGTCACCAGCTCTGCTGCCTTCCCCTCTGCCGCTTCCCTCACTTCTGCTGGGGTTGCTTCCACTTCCTCTGCTCACGTTACGTTTCCTCCTGGTACTGGGTCTACAGCTGTTGCTGCAACAGAAGAAATGGTTAGTACTCTTCTTGAAAGTGCCCACCCTGGGGTAAAGATTCCAAACTTACTTGTATATTGGATATTTTGAAATCAGAACCTACTTTCCCATTTCCCATTCTTTGATGTGGCATTTAGGTCATATATTAAATATTAAAAAGTATTAGAAAATAAAAGTGGCCAAAATATTAATTTGTACTTGGAAGTTCTACTGTAATAGTGGTAATTAAAGAAAGAAGTTTTTTAGTTTACATTTTTCAGAAACTAGTCAGGAAATTAGATTTAATTTGTGAATTTTTTTTAATTTGAAGGAAATTGGTATTTTTAAGGATCTAGTGGCTTAATTGGCTCTTTTGTATATTGGCTCTTTTTTGCAGCTTTCTCCTTTCCTGGATGCAGATACATCGTCAACACTACTCTGTAGTGACTCCATCTTGATTCAATTAGGTTTTTAAATTTTGATGCATAACTGGAATAGAGATAGGAGTATTTTTCCCTAGAATCACTAAGCTGCTATTAGAGACAACAGAGAGAGGGATGGAGATTTGTAGAAGAACTTGCCTAAAGTAGAATAATCAAGCTATTAATATGGTAAGAATTCCAGACAAAGCACATCATGTTTCTGACCCCTGGAGTTGCTGTTGTTACACTGTATTCCTCCAGCAGTGTTTCTGGGAGAGAAAGGAGGAGGGACACAAGTCAAGCTTATCATACTGACTTCAGCAGGTTTTTGTTTTAAAATACTATACCCTTTTCTACTGTGGCTTGGTGCTGGCATAAAGTCCTGTATAGTTAAAAAATTCTTGTCTCCCTTTCCTCTCCTACCCCAACCACTTACATGAGAGAGAAAGGAAGTTAGCAAATATAAGTTCCAGGTAGTTCCTCTGCAGGCCATTTGAGGATACCAGATGGTAACTGATCACTCTAGACAGCCTTCGAGCTGAGGGAGGCACTGAGCCAGTCAAACAATTGGTTATCTTTAGTATTCCAGAGATTCTGAATTTAGTAAATTTAGTATTCCTGAATTTCTGCCTTTTGGATGCTACTAAGTTTGGAGGATAAAATGTTGAGGTCTACTATTTATTATGTTGCTCTTCATTCACAGTTTTAATAAAACGTCTGATCGGAGAAATTTGAATGTGTGAGGGGGTTTTCACTTAGAAATAAGACACTAAAATTCAATCCTGACATATGTTCAACTATTTATTTTTCATGATTACACTTTTTGAAGTGTGATCCTACAGACGATTTCATATAAATAAGCACACTGAGTATTCATTTAAATTTCTGGTCTGTTATTGTTATATTCAGATAACACACAGCTAAATTTTTTAAATTCCTTTCCTACAATTTGGCTGTACCATTTGTGTATCTGCATTTATTATTTTAAAAAGCCTGAAGATGTACAGGAAGACCTAAATGAATGAGTTTGCTTACCTCCATTTTTGTTGCTTATTTTTGGAGCCAATTTAATCTGGGATAACAATGAAGTTTTTGAAACCTGAGAAACACAATATTGTGTGGACATCCCTCCTCTCCCCCCCCCTCCCTCTCACCCCCCACCCCCCACAGCTACATCTTACTCATTCAAAAACATACACATTCAGTTTCATTCACATAGGTACAGATTTTAGGGCTAGAGAGAAAGGTGAATCACAAATAAGTCCACCTGTAAATGTAATTCTGGTTTTCTTTCTTCCTCATATAATCACAGTTCTCAGAAGTACCTCAAATATGTTTTCTTGTTTTTATAAAGAACCATAACAACAAAAGAAAGAACAAATACATGAATCAATTAACTTACCTAATGTGAAACCATTGTTGGGAGTAGGAAAAGGGAGATCCAAAACTAGTTATCTTTCTCTTCATTTTACCCCTAGAGGCTTCCTATGAATACTCAAAATTTTTTCCAGTCTCCCTCAGTATTTCCATTAGAGACAAGGAAGTGTTTGTGGAAGAAAATGAACTGCAAAGAGCTGGGAAACAAATAAGTGAAGAAAAGAGGATTACCATTTCTCACAAAATAATATCTTCATATGTAAATTTATTTCTCCCTTTAGACATCTTCAGTTTGTTAAATAAAATATCAGAATTTTATGGTGGAAAACATATTTGAAAATAATTAGGCAGTTCTACAGGCAGGTATATTTGCAGTTTACAAAGTTGAGCAGTAGATGGCACTTAACTCTTTTTAACTCCAGTTGGAATAATTGAGGGGTTTTAATTGGATTTTTAAGCTATTTAATAAAAGTTTCTGTTTTGACTTTACTTTTCATCTGAAAGGAAAGTGATAGGGTATCAGCAGGCAGTTGGTGCTACTTTCCCCATTTTATAAATGAAGAATTTGATGCTTATAATAACTTTACCGTGGATGCAGTTAGTAACAGAATTAGAAGTCAGACTGATAGTCTGGCTTCAGAACCTGTATGTACTGTGAACTAATAATATGTATGTCCTTGCTAAATATTAATCCACAAATATAGCACTTTTTTAAATATGTCATTTTTTCTTATTCCTTTTGATTTTGTTGTTTATGTTGACATGGTTTAAAATACTAGAATTTCCATTTTTAAGTCAGCTAGACTTAAAATCACTTTATTGAAACCCAGCATGACTGCCACCAGTAAGTTATCATTTAATCAAAAAGCTAAATCATATATGTAAATGACCTGTACATACCTTGTGATTATTATTTTATCCTAAAACATACATTTATATTAATTTGCCAGTTTTTAATGTAGATCCAAATCAAGAGTGGGTCCACAAATTGTAGTTAATCATTTTTTTAATGTAAGCCACACTCAGTGTATTTTCTATGATTTCCAATTTTAGTTTAGTGAAGTAAAGCAAGAACCTTAATGGAATTCACAGAGCAATCTGATTACAGAATCCTTCTGGGTACTTTTACTTCACCTTACTTAGCAGTCTTTTCCCCCTAATAGCTTGTTTTTCCTAAGCTATCCATATTTACTTTCAAACAACTTATTCAGCAGTTTACACAATTTTTAATTAAATTACCTACCAAGTAAACATTGTTAACAAGTGACAAACATTTGAAAACAAGTAACTTGATAAATATACAAGTCATTTAAAACAACTTTGAATTGTTCAATTCAAATGAGTGTATAGAGGTTTCTTTAAAAAGTTTTATTACTTTATTGACGTATATATTTTCATCTCGTTGAAGGCATTCTAAAGCAATTTCTCAGCTCATTGAGTTAAGGTTATCATCTATGGGCGGTTTTCTCAGTTCAAACTTCTCCTAGTTTAGACTTCTCCAGTTTTTCATGCCTCCCTTCACCCTTAAGTGAGAGAGTAGCTGTCACTGCAAGGAGTGTGCATACCTCTTAAATGTGATTGGGCAGAAATCAGTTACAAGCTCCATTGTATTTCAGTTTTCAATTTCTTACAAACAATTTTCTTGCCAGTATTTGATTTCATATTTTAAAAATAGCTCTTAGGAATCTTTAGCAGTTTATAAAATTTTTTCTTTACCTTATTTTAATAAGAAATAGGAAAATTCAGGTCAGAAGTATGAAGTTAGTCCACAAAAACATATTTGTAAATATTTTGGAATCAGTTTTGGTTTCTCAAACATTTAACTTTCATAAAAATTTAAACATCCCAGTAGTTTCTACAAGAATAAGAGAAACAGCCCTCTAAGTCCCTCTTTAAATTCTTTTGTTTTCTCTAATTAACCTTTTTTCCCTAAATGATATTAGCATATCATTTACATTCTTCATGTATTGATTATCTATTGGCTTTTTATTGTATATGAAGGAATTTGGCCTTCTAATATATTTTTGGCAATATAATCTACATAAATAACTCAGAAGGGAAATCCTTTTTTTTTTTTAAGATTATTTATACATATAAGAACTGGGGTACAGGCCAGAGGTGTGGAGGGTGAGAGGATTCACCAGAGACAGAGTAGGAGGCAGAACAGGCAGATCGACAAATACACTGCTGAGGGGACCAGCGGGCAAGTCAGCAGAGGTCTGCTGCGCCATGTGGGTAGCTCCCTGGCCGGAGATTGAACTCATGCTGCAGTGGCTGCGGTTAGCTTTATAGGTTGCACCTTAACCCCTTGTGCCACCAGGGAGGCCCCCAGAAGGGAAATTCTGTTATAAAAATGATCTTATATAATAAGGTAAGAACTGAGACACTTAAAGGGTCTTTATTAGTACAAAAACCTCTCATTTGAAATAAAAGGTCTCTTTTTCATGAAAATATACATTTGAACAAAATGGTTAGAAAAATAACACAAAAGCAGATGTTAATGATAGTATTAACTCTACATAAGGATCAAGAGTTCATAAAAATAGACAAATGGCTGCTGAGGACTAAGGGTAGTGGGGGAAGGGAGATGGACAGAACTTTAAAGGGTAGCATGATGGCGAACGTTGTGGTGACAGAATAGTTCTGTGTCTTGATTGCAGTGATGCACATGTGATGAAATAACAGATCTGTGCCAATTATCAGCTTCTTGATTTTCATGTTTTGCTGTAATAATGTGAAATGTATTCATTGCAGGCAACTGAGTGAACACACAGGACTTCTCTGAAATATCTTTGTACCTTCCTATGCATCTATAATTAGGTCAAAATAAAATGATTTTGAAAGTTGCTAAGATCCCATATATAACAACGTTAGCAAGGTATTTTGGGATGCTTTATATTTGGCTTTTTTGGTCTCATTGTTTTAAGTTTTATTTTTTCCTTGTGAACAGTGGTTGAATATATGGTTATTAAGTGCCTGTGTATTTTCTTCATAAGTTATTGAAGTACCATAGATTTCGCCATGGATTTTCTACCAACTATATATTACTTTGTTTTTTCAGTATGTGCCCAGAGTTGTGACATCTGCACAACAGAAAGCTGGAAAAACAATTACAGCTCGGATCACAGGGAGATGTGATTTTGGTTCAAAAAATAGAATTGGTAGCAGTTTAGCTATAATGGGAGTTTCTCCTCCCATGAGCTCAGTTGTTGTGGAAAAACATCATCCAGTCACAGTGGTGAGTACACATTTGATGACCTTTGATCAAAATTCCCTTTTCTTGATAATTTATGACTATAACACTTAGTTGACATGTTGAGAAGATTAAAATTCATAATGGCTGGTACTTGTTCTGCCTTCTACTCTTACAGTCTTCTATATACTTAAAATTGTCAAACCTTCTCTAAATCTACCTTTCCTGTTCTAGGAATTAATTTCAGAAACATTGCTTCTTCCCAGCAGTATAGTTTTCAGATACAAAAAGTAATTTTTTGTGTTAGTGGCTACAAGGGTAAAATGATTTCTTGTTAATTGAAAGAGAGAAAAGCCACTCATTTACTAGCTGTTCATCTAGCAGATATTTGGTTACAAGAAACACATCCTTGCTTTCATAATTTTAATTTTTGTTTCATTTCTAAGTTGCCTTACCTCCCATTTTATTTTCAGTAAAATTGTCAGCATATTTCTAGTTGGGGCGGCGGGGGAGATTCAGATTGCAGTAAAGGAGAGTGCATGAAACTTAACCAAAAATAAATAAAAACCTCTTGTGTAAGTGGGAGCAGTAAGAGTACTTAGCTCCCAGAGTAATGATATATAGCACTATTGTTTTTTTTTTTAAAGATTTATTTATTTATACAAGAACCAGGGTACAGGCCAGATGTGCAGGAGGGCGGGGAACAGATCAGGCAGACTGTCTGAAATACACTGCTGAGGGCAGCAGTGGGCAAGACAGGAGAGGTCTGCTGCGCCATGTGGGTATCTCGCCGGCCGGCCGGGATCAAACTCATTCTACAAAGGCTGCAGGAGCTTCATAGCGCTGTACTCAACCACCTGCGCCACCAGGGAGGCTCTAGCACTATTATTTCTTACACAATTTAATTTGAAAATTTACAAGAACATTTCCTTAAGATGAAATAGGATTTTTTTTTTCTGTGTAGACGAACTGGGGTATAAGCCAAAGGTGCAGGTGAGAGGATTCACCAGAGACAGATTAGGGAGCAGAACGGATAGATTTACTGATACACACTGCTAAGGGGAGCAGCAGGTGAGATAGGAGAGGTCTGCTGCACCATATGTGGATTAGCATCCTGGCTTGGGATCAAACTCAGGCCATGAGGTGATAGCGCTGAGATTTAACCCCTAGGCCACCAGGGAGGCCCAGAATTTTCTTAATTGTTTTTTAGAAATACTATAATTAATAGTCGAAAGCATTCTGTAAGATATGTCTTATAACTCTCATCGAGCTCATATAGTACTCTTATACCTCAATATCATATATAAAATGTTTTCATATAAGAACACCTTTTATAATAGCATTCTGTCTTCATTTTCAAAACAGCTATCATTGTGTCTTTAACATTTCCATGATTTCAATCTGGTTATGGAATTCAAGGATCAATGGTATAGTCACATTGAACGTTTGGGGGCATTTTTCTCAAGCAGCTCTAGCTCACCAGACTACATAGGCCATTTACACTCTCATGAGAAGAGTGTGATTTCCTATTTACAACCCTTGACAAATCTGGAGACTTACAGGGAAAGTTCATGTGATAAATGGGAGACGGTGTCATATTTGAAATTAGTACTCATTTGATTGAGAAATGTAATGTGCATTGACTTTTTAAATGTTATGAGCTGTTTATCTCCTTGTGTGTTCTTTATTGTAAGGTGAGAACATTTACTTAGCAATCTAATATTTTCCTCCTTATGTATAATTTCAATTTTTTAAATTTTTTTCTTTTTTTTTAAATGAAATGCCATTGTTTTACATCTTTGTTAGTATTTGACAATGTAGATCTCTCCCCTTAGATGTGGTCATCATAGCTCTCCCACCACCAAAGCACCCATAGTTCTCTGCCTTGTAAACAAGGATTAATTTTAAAAGAAAATGCCCTCTATTTAAATTCTCGGTATAAGACAACCTTCCTCTCTATTTCGTATGATAATGTATTAGCAAAACTATATATGGAATGATTTT